AGGGGCCGCGCGCGCCCCTAGCTGGGCCCCGGGCTGCTGGCGGGCCCGGAGCTTGGAGATGGCTGCAGGGCAGGGCCTCTTGTACAGTGGCCGCCTGTTACCCTGGGCTGTCTTCGGGGGGCATTTCTGCCGCGAGCGGCTGGGGAGCCGGTGGGGCGCTGCCCGCCGGGGCCGACCTGCAGAAGTGCACCGAAAGCCTTGGGTGGCCCCTCAGGCACAAAAAGCCCCACTCCCTGCAGTTGCTGGGCCCAGGAGCGCGAGTTTCTGTCACGACTAACCTGCAGTAAGCGATTTCTGGATTCTGGGGCACCCCGCCCCTGGAGGCCTCAGTGCAGCTGGGCGTGTGATGTTTGCCTCATGCCCTACACATCCCTTTGAAACATTTGGAGCCAAGAGCTGGGGAGAGCCCGAAACTCTTGGAACAGGCAATCCCAGAAAGCCCTGCAGATGCTGAGGTCCCTGTGAGCAGGCCCCAGGGTTAGACTCTGACAGTCCATCGTGTAATGGGGGCCTCATGGCCGGGGCTGCCAAGGGCGATGGCCCATTATCAGTGCCTGCTTCTTCAATGGCCCTTCCTTTCTTCATGATCAGTACCGGTGAAGCACAGACCCCTGGGTGAGCCTCTTCTCCTGGGTGGTTTTCTTAAGCAACAGACTCTTCCACAAGACGGTCTACCGAGTGGCTCAACCTCTGCAGAGGAGGTCCCCTCACCGCATCCATCCCCTGCCAAACTGCAGACCTCCATCCGCAGGCCACTGAGTCACCTGCCACCCCTAGGGGATGAATGGGTTTGGAAGGAGGCTTTGCAGCTCTTTCTTTGTTCACCTCCCCCACCAAGAAAGGCAGGACGCATTCTGCCAAGGGCCCTCTGCATATTCCCTTCTCTCTGAGGAACTGGGACCTTTGTCTCTGATGCACTAAGTTACAACCTTCCTGACACCAATATTGTGGATTTTTAACCTGTAAGTCTGAAAGGACCGCAAGTTTTCCTGCAGCTCCTTGCTAGCATTTGCCAGCTCCCGTGCCTGGACTGATGTGAATGCTTTTCTCCCCGTGCCATTTACCTTCTCCCTTCCCCTTCCTGCCATCCGCCACCTTTGGAGGAATGGATTTTGTAATTCTAGCTGTTGTATTTTGTGGACCTGTTATTTTGTTGTTTTCTGTGAAGCACATGCATTGGATGCATGAGGTAAAGGAGGATCTCAGGTTTTCCTGATCACGCCCCTTGTAGCCATCACTGTCTTGTTTCTTGTAACACAGGTTAGGTTTTGGTCTCTCGTGCTCCATTGAAAGACAAACAAACAAAACAAACAAACAAAAAAAACAGCCTGAAGACATGGGACAGAACAGACCTCACAGCCAGATCTGCTGGGTTTTGAGGAGTGATTTTTCTTCCCCTTGAAGGGAAAAAGCTTTTTTAACTGGCACATTTGAAGCTGCCCAACTTCAGGGACGTACCAGTTTAGATGAGTGCTACTGCAACACGGAATGCTCAGGGAGCCTGAACTTTCAAACTCTGGAGGTCTGAAATTGCCTCTTGGCCGCCATCGAGTCTGTCTGGTGTTTCAAAGGAATATTGGGTGCTGCAAATACGAACTGAAGGGATAAACTCATTAAATCCATGACACCTGTGATCGGTTAGTGTTTTCCTGCCATTTTAGAGACTAAATATGAGGAAAGGGGGAAGATGTCAAAACACTTGTACAATTTTAAAATGTCACAATTAAACATGAGCTAGTTTCCAAAAATAAATAAAACCTTACGTTGTGTGTGTGTTTGTGTGGAATCTAAAACTACGACAACGGAATGAGATGTTTTTGTGTCATGATTGACTAACTATTAATCTATCTTTTGCTTTTTCCACTTGTGATCCAAATTCTATGACTGCTTTACTTTCAGGTGTAGCAGTTATATTTTAACGTTCTGATCAATTTCTCTTGGACATAAGCATGAACCATGGTAAAAGGGACCAGCCATTTGAAAAGAAACACTGCTCCACCAGGATGCCTACGAAGTGGATTTCCGTTCTGCTGCTGCTACAGCTGAGCTGTCACATTCGCCCTGGGTGGTGTGGAAAGGTGCTGGTGTGGCCCACAGAATATAGCCATTGGATGAATATGAAGACAATCCTGGATGAACTTGTCCACAGAGGTCATGAAGTAACTGTTCTGACATCTTCAGCTTCAATTCTTGTTGTTCCCAATAAGGCATCTGCTATTAAATTTGAGATTTTTCCTACATCTTTAACAAAAGATGATTTCGAATTATTTTTCATGCAGCTAATCAATAAATGGACATATGATCTACCAAAACATAGATTTTGGACACATTTTTCACTAATGCAAGAAATGTTTTGGGAAGGTTCTGAATTTGCTGAAAAGCTCTGCAAAGATGCTGTTTTAAATAGGAAACTTATGACAAAACTACAGGAATCAAGGTTTGATGTCGTTCTTGCAGACGCCGTTGGACCCTGTGGTGAGCTGCTGGCAGAACTACTTAAAATACCTTTGGTGTACAGTCTCCGCTTCTCTCCGGGCTACACAATTGAAAAGTATAGCGGAGGACTTCCATTCCCTCCGTCCTACGTACCTGTTGTCTTGTCAGGATTAAGTGATCAGATGACCTTCATGGAGAGGGTAGAAAATATGATATACGTGCTCTATTTTGACTTCTGGTTCCAAACATATAATCAGAAGAAGTGGGATCAGTTTATCAGAGAAGTACTAGGTAAGCCACATCTTTACTTGAAGTCTTAACTTTCCTAGTCCTTGGAAGGTGAGTTTATATAAATATTAACTGAACGGAATTTGTCTTTTACAAGTTAAATGATTATATAATAACATATAATGATCTTTAAATCTCACAAATCCAGGGTGTCCCAAAAAAATGTATACACACTTTTTTCTGATAGCTCAATTGATGTTTCTTTCCAAATTTAACACATTGGAATTAATAATTATTCAAAGTGTGTATATATATATATATTTTGGGGGGGGGGATACCCTATATTATAGAAATGCTTAAATTATGAGGTTAGTTTGAACCCTGGGTTCCACTAGTATAGAATACTCCAGGAAGTCAGAGACCCCAAATTGAAGCACTGGGGAGTTCTTTAAGCAATCACATATCCATTCTTCTTTATTTGCTTGTTAATAATAGGCTTTATTTTATGGAAGAGTTTTAGGGCCACAGCAATATTAAGTAGAGATTTCCCACATATGCCCTGACTCCTCTATTGTCAACATCCCCCATTAGAGAAGGACATTTGTTTCAACTGATGAAAATATACTGACATATCATTATTATCTAAAGTCCAAAGTTTATATTAGGGCTCACTCTTGGCGTTGTATATTCTGTGACTTTGAACAAATTTATAATATCATGTATCCACCATTATAGCATTGTACAGAGTAGTTTAACTGCCCTAAAAATCCTCTGTGCTCTGCCCATTTGTCTTACACATCAATTTTACTATAATTGTTTCATCTTTAATAAAGGTATTGGAAATTTCACTAAACATCTTCATCAAAGCACAAATGTAGATTGCGGAGTTACATATTTCTAACACAATGTCTACGGATCATTGGGGAAATTGTTTCCACTTGTTTCTCCTCATTTTTCTTATTTAAAAATTAAACTGTTTTGCCATATTACCTGAAGAATTCTTTGACAATGGAGAAATAGAATGGCTCTGTCTCAGATTAGGGAACCTACAATTTGAAGTTCCTAATAATTACATTTCTTCACTAAGTGTTTATAAATCATCTGTTTTAAAGGCCTAAAATCTTGTTGAAGGGTGGATAATTTGTTTTATGTCTATATTTTTTGAAACCTATATTTCTCCATTAAAGACAAAATGAGCCAAAATTAAGGGTGAGCACATTTATTTCCATACTTTGTGAAAATTTTCCAGCTGCTTTTTGCAAATATTTTTATTTAATACACAAATATTATTAAGCTCCTAACATGAACCAAATGCAATAGTAGCCATACTCTCAAAAACCTCACAGTGTACTTGTAAAATCTAGAAACAAGGAAGTAGCTTGCTAAATTGTAGAATCTAGACTGAGTATTCTAGGGAAAGGCATTTCCGTGTGTATAGAGGGGTTAATTGACTGAGGAGTTGAAACCTCTGTTTACATTTGCATTAGTTAATTTAGAAGCTTTACAGAGTAAACAAATGAATGTTTCATTCTTTACTGCTTAGATAAGTAATTGTTTATGATTCTGAATGTACTGATGTAACATCAGATATGGGAATCTGATGTGACAGAGAGAAAAGTCTATATTATATATATACACATATATAATGTACATGTGTGTGTTTGCGTATACGTATACGTATATGTATATGTATATATTTTCAAGCCAATCACTTTTATACATCTTTGGCTATATTACTACAAGCTCCTTTCAGAAAATCACCCGGTATATTCACATTACACTACTCTCATTTTCTCTGCCTTTGTTTTTGCTTTTTCCCTTCAGGAAGACCCACCACATTATTTGAGTTAATGAGTAAAGCTGAAATGTGGCTCATTCGAACCTATTGGGATTTTGAGTTTCNGTTTTTGCTTTTTCCCTTCAGGAAGACCCACCACATTATATGAGTTAAAGAGTAAAGCTGAAATGTGGCTCATTCGAACCTATTGGGATTTTGAGTTTCCCCACCCACTCTTGCCACATTTTGAATTTGTTGGAGGCCTCCACTGCAAACCTGCTAAGCCTCTGCCTAAGGTGAACCTATTCATGTTTGTTTTACTTTGTTTACTTTGCACTTCCAGTAGAAATGATTCTGTGTTCTTCATTTGGGAATATCCAATCACACTATGAGAGATATGGGAACCTGGGTAAAGTGACCTGCCAATTAGAAACTCATATTTCTATACTGTTTCAAGAATCTGAATGATATTATCATGACAGAATAAAGAATTATACTTGGGAGACTTTGGAAATAGGGTCAGTTAAATTATGGTCTTCATTATTCAACACATAAGGAAGTGTGAATCGCTCATTCAAAGAATATTCTTAAAATGACCAGCATAGTCCAGAGATAAGTGCTGAATATACAGAGAAAGAGACATAGAAGCATGGAGCAGACTGAGGGATCTCAGAGGGAAGGTGGGGAGGGGGAGGAGGTGGGGAGAGATTAATCAGAGAACTCATATGTTTATAAGCATAACCCATGGACACAGACATTGGAATGGGGAAAGCCTGGGGGTGGGATGGATGTGGGGTGGAGGGGATCAGTGGGGATAAAAAGGGGACACCTATAATATTTTCAACAGAAAAGATTTAAAAAAATTAAGTATGGGGGGAGATTATTTTCATGTGAGTCAGCTATAGGAATATTCTGGAGTGCAAAATTCTCACAAATTGTTAATAGAAAACATAAGATTAAAAGAATTTTTATGCAAAAGAAAGAAAGAAAAAGAAAGAAAGAAAGAAAGAAAGAAAGAAAGAAAGAAAGAAAGAAAGAAGGAAGGAAGGAAGGAAGGAAGGAAG